GTACTCCCAAAAGTGCTGGCATTACAGGTGTGAGCCACTGCGCCCAGCTGGAGCTGATTCTTTTTTTTCAGACGGAGTTTCGCTCTGTTGCCCAGGCTGGCGCACAACCGCGCGATCTCGGCTCACCGCAACCTCCGCCTCCCAGGTTCAAGCAATTCTCCTGCCTCAGCCTCCCAAGTAGCTGGGATGACAGGCATGCGCACCATGCCCGGCTATTTTTGTATTTTTAGTAGAGATGAGGTTTCTCCATGTTGAGGCTGGTCTCGAATTCCTGACCTCATGTGATCCGCCCGCCTCGGCCTCCCAAAGTGCTGGGATTACAGCATGAGCCACCGCGCCTGGCCAGAGCTGGATATGTTTGAACCAAGAAAGTAAAAGAAAAATCTTCACATTCTAAAAAGCAATCTGTCAATGGAGTGCAGTGATGGGGGACAAAGAGAAAGCCCAGTTAGGTAGTTACTCTGTTCGTTTAAATGTGAGATGATGAAGTCTATGTGTAGATATAACATGTAATTATAATTATGATCACTGGAAGAGAAAAGAAGAGATGAGTTAGACACATATTGGAGAACCATTCCACCAGTTTTAGGAAGTATTCATTTTACTTAAGGAAAAATGGGGTAAGAGTCAGTGTCAAGTTTCTAGTCTCTCAGTTCCTTCGTGAATGACGGTAGGTCGGCAGGCAGGGATGATGTCACTAATATAAAAGACACAAGAAGAGACACAGAAAGGTCAAGATTTGTGTTTCTTTCATATGAAAGTGACAGCTGGAATCATGTAGATGGATGAGATGACCCAGCAAAGAATTTACAGTGAGCAGAGTATGGGAAATAGCCATATTTAGGGGGTTTTGCAATGTTCCAAGTATGTTTTTCACATTTTGCATATTCCTATTAAATAACCAAAAGGGATAAGAGGAATTATACTATTTTACATTGTAGATTTTAAACATAGAGAAAAATACGTGTGGATATTTGCCTTGTGAGGAGGGGCATATGAGAAAGTAATGCAACTTTGAGAGGGGAGATGAAGTAAAAAAAAGTAAACACAAGATATAAACCCCAAGGGAAATTATTTAAATAGGAAATATAAAATTATTCAAATTGTAAATTATCCAGGAAAAACACCCAATAATTCTAACGGTAGCTTAGGATATTGAGCCAATTTTTTAAAAATCATTACAAAAGAAGACACTATTCTTAACTCTTGCTTCAAGCCATGCAATCAGACAAAAAGGGTGCCATTTCAGGCTCTTTCATTTAGAGTATCTATATTCAGATCTCCATTCACATAGTTCCTGGCATGAAGCATCTGAAAGAAGATTAAAATTAATGTAGGAGTGCAACATTAACACAAACATCACTGATTAACTTGAACTGAACCAAGCTCAAAGCAAAAGCCATAACAGGGAATCAGTCAGGATTGAAAAGAACAAATAGAAGACTTCTTTAGTTTTCACTGTATTCCCCAAGAATTTGGAAAATTTTAAGGCCCAATCTATATTATTAGGAAAACAAAAAGTTGTTTTTCGTTTTCTATTGGTTTATGATTGCTCTAGCATTTTAAATAGGCCTACATTCCAACATAAATATTGTCATGTTCCTAAGATTAGTACAGGTATCTTACATGTATATGGTACCTCCCAAATTTGAAGTGTCATATTAAATGATTTAATGCATGTATGGCACTCAAAAGTAGATTTGTCATATAGTAAATACTTTAAAATTTTACTATTATTACCACTACTGCTGCCGCTACTGCTACTACTAGATTGTATGAAATTAATAGTAAAATCAAAACTATATTCTGCATTATTTATTATAATTAGTTGCCCTGAAATATCTTCAGGCTCTCAAAATCTCAGTTGTTTAAATGACCTACTGGATAACGTATCTACCATACACACAAAGAGACACGTATGTGCCTATGTGCACACATATGCTCCAACATAATTTGTGGAAAGAGTAGCATCAAATTGAAGAAGAGATCATGATTTTCAATCATCTAAATAAATCTAAATCCATATCCAAGAGAAACCTAGAAATAGGGTATAATGTAACTGATAGTATAAAAGCTCAGTCCTAAGATTTTTTAATAAATCCATTGGCCCTATAGTCTACAACTTTAACTTTGAGAACTCCTGACAAGAACACCCAAGCAGATCCAGTGGTCAACTGTTCTTTTGTACAGGCCTGGGTCAGGCTCTTTAGACTAGAGAAATAAGAACGCAATAGCACCAAGGCAGGGTATGAAAAGAATATTCTCTTCATGGGCCTGTCTTCAACAGTGAGCTTATGCTATAGCTCTCATAACAATTATTCTTCACCAACAACAGCATCCCAGTTCTGCATTAACAGTGCGATTGAATAGATTTCACTCCTGGCATTCCCATGATCTCCTAATGGCAAATCCCTATGAAAACAAATGGTAAGACTATCACTTAGGGGTGGTTTTTGCTCAACAGCTATTTTATTCCCTTGGAGCATTTTATCTTTCTTCATAATTATATCAAAGGATACATTTCTAATAACTGGTAAGCCCTTCCTTAAGTGACTTTAACCTCTGTAGGCATTGGGTCCCATGACCCATAGCACAAACATATTTTGTAATTAAAATTTTTTTCAATTTCAGAAGCCACTGAGGAAATGTTCTGCTTTATATAATTGTTCTCCATTAAGTGACATTTAATATGAAAATGTTCATAATTTAAACCCATTTAATCTCAGCCTTATATGCTTCATACCTCATTTTTTTTTCCCCCCCTCTTTTCAACAATCAAAACCCTATTACAGATACGAGAGTATATGGCAGGTCTTTTTTCTTTCTCTTTTCCTTTTTTTAAATAAAGACTAATAGTTCTTAAATTTAGAAGACTAACAAGGATGCAAGAGTGATACAATTTTTCAGCAGCCTGAAGTACCAGTCATTTTAAGTAGCTTCAGATCACAACCTGTGAGGGAAATAGTATGATCATTTTCAATCACTTCATCATGAAGGAGAACCATTAACTAGTTTTAATTGGAAATTGCTAACAACACTTTTATAAAGTTTATAGGTATAATAATTCAATTTTCCAAACATAATGAAGAAAGTCCACAAAATGTTGACTATGAGGACCAAAGCAACCTCTTTTTGCCTAGAATAAACCTTCACAGACTTTATCAACATATAATCAGCAGAATCAAGCCTGGAATAGATCAAACCAGAAATGTGATCCAGTCATCCTGTTCCAATTAAAGAAAGGACCATGTGTTGAACTAAGCAAATAAGTGTAGATAAAATAATCTATGTTGGGATTTGAGAACAACTTTTCTGGTTGTACTTCAATTGTAGCTAAGATTCAAGTTGAAAACAATGACTGGCAATACATCCCCCTTCCCATCATTTATTTTAAAGGAAGCTATCAATGACCTGGACCAGGGGCCTGTAACCATCACCTTGCTTTTGCCAGGCGATGGTCACAGGCACCTCCTTGCAGGGTTTCTAACGGAAGACAGAACTGACCTATTACTAATAACCACAACCCTAGCAAAATCCAAATCCAAACCCCATCTACACACAAAACTGAGAATAGGAAAAGTCAGCAGATCTTTGGAAAGTACAGGGTTCTTTCTCTCTGGGAAAAATCATTGTAGGTTTGGGGGTGCCTGTCAAAAAGGCAAAGTATTAGCAGGTTTCTCTTCTTGCTGTGTCAGAGCTGACCAGCATGGGAGAGTTTTTGACAGAGTATGATGTGTGTTTTTGGATTTGGTATCCACTTTTCTCCCAGAGCGCTGTATAAAGAAGCCTCAGTGAGGTGCATGGAAAGAGGACAGAGGCATTCACACCAACCACCTTCACTGTACTCTTCAGAGGATGAAGCAGCAGCCCTGGGAGACTTCTTGCAGCTTCAGGAGAAGATTAACGATGAAGGGAGGCCAAGCAAACAGGCAATCCAGCCAGCGACCAGATCAGGTAGGCAGCACAATGGCTGGGACTGAATATGGATGATGACCCTTCTCTGAGGTGTTCATGAGCAATGCCGGAGGCAGGAGGAAGCTAAATACAGCCCCGAGAATACCTACCCTCGCTTCACTCTCTGTGGTGGACTGAAAATGGTCATGAACTTAATTCTGAGTTGGCTATATGACTTGCTTTTGACAATGAGGCATTAGTAAATGTGTCACAAGTAGATACTCGGCAAGTCACTGAGCACTGGGGTTGCTTGTGAGCCCCATGACTACCACTGTGTGACCAACACTTCCGGAGACCAATTGCCTCTGTTGCTAGAGCCAACAGCATGCCACATCCCAGACACATTCCACATTACGCAGCCATAGTTACCCTGCCACATGACCACAGATCCATGAGAGAGACAGTGTAAATCACTTGAACTGGCCCAGACTGGAATAACTGCCCAGCTGAACCACAGAATATGAAGAATCACTAGAATGGCTGCTGGGTTAAATTTGTTATAACCAAGAGTTTTGAGCAAAACACCAGTGACCTGCTTTGCAAAGTATATTATGGCACCCTACAGATTACAACTAAACTCAGATCCCGAATCAACTTAAAAATGCTATGACACATATTTTGTTAAACTGCGCCTTTATAGAAATATTAGAGAAAGACAAAAAGGAAAACACAAAGAGTAGAAAGCCCTGTAGGGAAGCAGAAAATAGTCAGTGTAGAGTTGCTCTGACCTCAAGCAGTTTGAAAGAGCTCACACAATGCGCCTGAGTCCCCTGGAGTAGCATGAAAAAATGGAGCAATTTGCTTTACTTTCATGTATCTTCTGATATGTTGAAGTAGTTGAATGCATTAATTCCATTCTAAATTAATTAAGTCAATCTTTCATTTATCAATCGTTTATTGGACACTTACCCTATGCAATCAACTATACCATCTAATAGGAGACAGTAATAATAAATAAGAAAGCTATAGAAAAGAAATGAGAGAGGGGAACTGGAGTGTACCTTTATGACAGGTACACAACTGGGCATTCTAAAATGCATGTTCTCATCGCTTCTCAGCCTTTTGGCTAAGATCAAGTGTCTAAAATATATGTTCTCTTTTTCTAACCATAAAGCCCTATAAGAACTTTCTTCTTATGCTCAGAGAAAGTATATAACCCGATTTTAATAAGCTATGACCTTTCTGTTTGCCTGTAAATTCTATCCTAACTTACGGAGACGGACCACCTACAGTATGGTACAAGAAAGAAGGGGGCCAGTCTCCTGCAAAATTCAGAGAGAAAAAGACCACAGGTTGGCCAGGCGTGATGGCTCACACCTGTAATCCCAGGATTTTGGGAGGCTGAGGTGGGCAGATCATGAGGTCTGGAGATCGAGACCAACCCGGTCAACACGGTGAAACCCCCTCTCTACTAAAGATACAAAAACTTAGCCAGGCGTGGTATCGCACGCCTGTAATTCCAGCTACTTGGAAGGCTGAGGCAGTAGAATCACTTGAAGCCAGGAGGTGGAGGTTGCAGTGAGCCAAAATCACGCCATTGTATTCCAGCCTGGGCGACACGGCAAGACTCTGTCTCAAACAAAACAAAACAAAACAACCCACAGATTATAGTTGGGGAAGGAAGGATTTAAAAAAATAAATAAAAGCTTTGTTAACAAGGAGGATTCTGAGTTATGGAGAAATAAATCTGATATTGCTAGAAATAGAAAAAATGATTATTCTCATGTTTTGATATCACAGAAATGGATTTTAATATAGAAATATTTTAAATATGGGAAAGTAAAAAGTAGGGGAAAAGTCCTTGTTCTTCCTCTAAATGAGCTATAAATAAATATCTTTTGGGTCAAGGAACTCAAACTTGGAGTGTGGCATGTACTGGGAACACAGAGCGGTATATGACCAGTCTAGAAAAAGAAGAAAAGTGGTTTGACTGACAAAGAGGCCATCCTAAGTCCAACTGTGACACATTAATAGGCTAAGAAATGGACTTTGAGTGCCAGGCTATTGAAGCAGATTTAGATGGCTAGGTATAAACAGAAATTCAATTTTATAATTGTTCTGCTAAAAAACGGAAAGCTAATCCTGGGATAGGAATTCATTCACTGTCCAACATATTTGTTTATTTTGACCTGTTGGTCCAAGCACTGTAGGGGTGTCAGAGAAATATATGAAGCTGCACACTGAGGCCCGCAAACCCCATAAAACACTAACATATTTGTGTTTTTATATGCTTTCTATCATTTTTACAGGCTTTGGTGTGGGAAGAGTAAGGTGATCCAGGATCAGAGTCCATCAAGTTGAAACTTAAGTCTCTTTGTACCTATGAGTATATACAACTTACCTATTGAAAATCCAATTATGTATATATACACTATATATATAAAATTGTTCCTCCAGATGCTTGCTTCTAATTTGCGAAATGTTACTTTATCAAGAGAATAACGTTTCTCCTACTATTATTTACTAATTTCCCAGAATAAGTCAGATGCCTCCTCAAATATTTAAGACTCAAAGGGGCCAGGTGTGTTGGCTCATGTCTGTAATCACAGCAATTTGGGAGGCTGAGGTGGGAGGATCACTTGAACCTAGGAGCCTGAGACCAGCCTGCGCAACGTGGTGAGACCCCATCTGTATAAAAAGACTTTTAAAAATTAGCCAAGCATGACAGTGTGTGCCTGTGGTCCCAGCTACTCAGGAGACTGAGGTGGGAGGATCGTGTGAGCACAGGAGGACGAGGCTGCAGTGAGCTGTAATTGCGCCACTGCACTCCAGCCTGGCCAACAGAGAAAAAAAAAAAAGACTAAAAGGGAGTAACAGCAAACAAACTCTTACTTGGTGATGACCCACATGTTAGCTTTGGGAAGCTGAGAGTGAATGCAGAAGATTTTTATGTGAGTCCATGTGTATTTCCCCTTGGATAATCTGATGTTAAACACTAAATCCACATTTCTCAGAGAAACACTGGCTTTAAATGGCAGCAATATCATCATGCTGCCTTCTGGCCTTCTATCATCTTCCTTTGGACATCTCTCCAAAATGGGATATTGTTTTTATTTTAGACACAACTTAGAATGCAGTTTCCTATAGTCAGGCAGGGACAATGAGGATGTCAATGAAATCTGAAGTAAGGGGAAGGATGGTTTGTCTACATCTAGAAAGAGAGTCTACACGTGTAGGGGAAGCACTGGAGCACAGATTGCAGATGGACTGAAAGTGGGCAACAAATAAGAAGACTGATCAACGTTCCATTGGACCACAGGTCAAGGTCCATCCTGGACTTTATATTGCACCCTTGGGGAAGCATGGGAGTACAGAAATGGGTCAGGGCAGATGCAGATCAGTGAAGACATCTTCATTTCTCTGATGTGGAACAAGGATAGATGGATGTAAAAAATATGTCTTGGCAGATCTGGAAAAAGCATGCTACCCTTTGGGAAAACATCTGGGCTATTATATTGTTTTACAGCACAGAAGGCAAGAATTTCAAGCTCTCCCGCCCAGCTTAAGACTTCTGTCATTCTTACACTACTCTGTCACTGAGAAAGCTAAAAATTTATTCAAAGGTCTCTTCAATGAAATGCAGATTAAAGGCATTTTGTGCATCTAAGTCTGGTCTCTTAGGCGGCATTTAACTTTACTATGTCCAGAGCATATGTCAGAACTAATTTGGGTCATGTTTGATTACTCACCATGGGTCAAAGTCGAAATTCCGTTGCAAAACACCAGAATAAACTTAACCATGAATGTTTTTCTAACAGTCTGTGACGAAATGTGTAATATACACTAACAACAACAAAAATCTGTGGCCAATCATGAACTTTCTAATCCTTGGAAATGGCTGAAAGTATATAAAGGATATTTAAAGGCTACCAAAATATACTGTGTTGAAAGTATTTAATTACCAAAGGCTAAATGTACATCTGCATGTATACTTACTTGTGTATTTTATATTTCTTTGTATATCTGTTAGAATAAATATGCATTTAATTAATATAACCATGCATTTCTTTCCTATCCAAGGAATCCACTATCATATATACAAGGGTTCACTATATTATAAGAGGTCACTTTCACTATATGTGTATATATACACTATATGTGTACACTATACATATATGTGTATATGCATATGTGCATATATATATAAATTTATTAATTTGTAGGTATACATATCAAGAAATAAGGAAATAAACATAGAAGTAAAGATCATTTTCTGCTTACTTAAGTTTACTATAATTTTTTTGTTTCCTTTATGCCACCATTATAAATTTGGAGAACGTTTTACTAATTGTGAAGCCTGAAAAAAAATTATGTAACTAATTAATCTATTATTTCTGCTACAATAAGTGAGCCTTTGATTCTTTTCCCAATATAGAAATAATGATGTGTGTCAGACAATTTTAAAAAATGAGAGGTGCAGAGAGACAGACAAAGCAAGCCTTGCCTTCCTACCTAGGTTTGACTGTTTTGAACTTTAAATACTCAAGCATTTCCTCCAGGATCGGTAATTAGCTATTTCCTCATGCAAACAGAGACAATTAAAGATGCTTTATTTTCTTCCTCTATATCTTCTCTCCTTTTTGTTTTTCATTCGGCCTTGCCAGGCAGAATAAACATGAGCTGAGTCACCTGTACTATTTCCTAATAGTGATTCATCACCAAGAAGCAGTAACACAGTCTCTCCCTCCTTTCTTCCCTCTCAGGATGTGGTGCCAACAAGGCAAGTCTCACAGAGCCACGCCACATGCCACATCCTAACCTTGGATTCGCCATCTAGCACCTCCCAGAGAGCTGAAATAGCCTGGACATCTTTCAGGCCTGCTCTGATGGAGAGCTCAGGAATAGCCTTTTCACATGTGTCAGATTTTCATCTCTCTGAAATGTATAGTTAAACAGTTTTCATGGCAGGCCAGATTAAGCCTAGAACCTAGCCAGTCAACTGGCTTGGGCTATTGTACAAAACTTTGTCTAATAAAAAATGTCTATTATTTTAGGACAGCTGTCATCATTACCCATTTAGTTTATAGTATGTGAGTGTTCATATTAATGTTACCAAAATAGGGTGAACTTCCTTTATAACACCTTATCTTACATGTAACCATGATTTGACTTACATGCAATGGCGAACTGAAACAAAATGGCAATTGCCACAAAATGGTGCTTGGCGTTCTAAAAAAATTCAAATTTACTCGAAATTCCTTTAGAGGCAATATATACTCATCAGAACTTATCAATTGAGTAAATATGAAGCACTCAAAATACATTTCATGATTTAATAATAATATTCACAAGAAGTACAACTGTGTTTAAAATCTGAATGACTGGCCCACATTTACATATAGTCTAATAGTTAACTGAAGTTTTACTTGTTTCTATTTCTTTTAAGCCAAATTGTTTTTATTCTGACTGAGATGACATAATATTTTAATTTTCCCAGAAAAGAAAAAATTAATGAAGAAAAAAATCAACAAAAATACAGTTAGAAGAAATAAGTTCTAGCATTCAATAGTACAGTAGAAAAATTATACTTAGCAGTAATTCGTTGTTTATTTTAAAAGCGTGAGAAGAAATGAATTATAATGGTCTCAACACAAAGATAAATGTTTGCAGTGATAAATATCCCAGTTATCCTAATTTGATTGTACACTGTATACAGATATCGAAATATCACATATACCCCTCAAATATGAACTATTATATATCAATTTAAAAATTCGAATGTTCATATTGTGTCATGTGCAATCAAATTTTACTTAATGCAATGCACTATCACTTTAAAACCTGCTCTTGACCTAGGTTTATGCTTATTTCACCTGAATAGAGAAACCAGAAGTTATCATCCTTAAACACCATCCTTTGTGGATGTTCCCACCAGGAGGACAAAGTAATAAATTTCAGTTCTCAAGGATGAGAAACCCAACAGATTCACTCCTTTTCTGCACACAAAACCATGCTGGCAATAGTCCCAAAGCCTAAGCTTCAGTCACAACTTTAAGAAACGTGCTATAAAGTGGGACTGCAAAAGAATCCCTCTATCACCTTTGAAACTGATACCTGTGTTGACTGCTTGAGCCCATCAGTTTAGCTCTCACAGCTTTCATTTACTAGCCCATGAGAAGTCACATTCAAAGAACACCATTTCGACTCTCAAAGAACATTATCAATGTACATGGATAGCTTCTAACTTCATAAGGTGTTTCTCTCTACCTAGAGCAATTAACATTAATTTGC